CATATCACTTGCAGATCAATAGTACTAAATATTGAAGCACCTGAGAGACTATCCAAAGTTTGATCCACTCGATGTAGCGGGTAAGCGTCTCTACGAGTTACTTTATTAAGTTTGCGAAAGTCTATACAAATACGAAATGTTGAATCTGGTTTTCTGGCAAGGACAATTGGGAATCGCCACGGACTGTCTGACTCTTCTATGATGCCTTGTTGTTTCATATCCTGAATTTGCCGCGACATGTCATCTCGTAAATGAAATGGAATTCTTCTTACAGGAACTGAAATGGGACGACTGTCACCCGTGTCAATCGTATGAAATGTTTTCTCAGAATATCCCAATCGTTTACCAGGTTCATTAAATATATCCTGATATTCTGTAAGTAATTCCTTAAGTTGATTACACTGTTTTTCTGTAAGGGTGTTTGTATTATTTACCATTGAAGATGCTTCAAAATTTTTCTCTGTATTTGAAATAGGTTGTTTGGTTGAATGCATGGTCTGATGAGAAACTAATCCTTCAGATACATTTTCGATTTTATCAATGGTACAAGCCCATGCTATTGGTTCATCTTTATTTAGTGATATTTGGTCATCTCCCATGTTCATCATCAAAAGTGTGGCTGTTTTGTTTTTGACATCGGTTAGAGTTCTAGCAATCATAATGTTTGTTTTCTCCGTGACATTACAGTTAGGTTCAAGAATAACATAGTATATTATCTGCTTATTCGTATTTACAGTCACTGGTATAATTAATTGTTCACCGGGTTGAATGTTGACATTGCTACTGAGAGCTACTCTTGAAACAGTTGGAGCGCGAGGATCAGTTGTTACTGGTACATAAATATCACCTTGATTTGGGCAATGTATGATGACTTGACGTTTGGCATAATCAATTGAAATGTTGTTTTTCACAAGAAAGTCTCTACCCAATAAACATCGTTCAGTTAAACTGTCTACAACATAAAAATGGTGAACATCTTGTAGTCCATGGAAATCATACGCTATTGTAGCCATACCATATAATTTAAATATCGTAGCATTTGCTGAATGAATGTTAGCATTGTCTGGTTTGAAATCTAGTTTGCAAGAAGAAGGTAATCTGTCATAAAACCATTTATTCATAAGAGATACATCTGCTCAACCATCTAGAAATGATTGTATCCGTTGACTTCCAAGTTTAATTGCTACACGTATTGGATCCGATCTGAAAGGAATGACTGGTGGATGTAGGGGAATATTGTTACGGCCACTGTTCACAGGAAATGACTGGTTTGACGGAGTAGGACATTGGTTCGCAAAATGACCAAATCCTTGACAATTAAAACAAACGTCGTCTCTAAAACAAACTCTCCGGTATGATGGGGGGTCTCGACGATTAAATCTCGGTGAATAGCGTTGACGTCTTGGTGATTGTCTGTTTCTGGAGAAATCTTCGCGGAATTGGCGTTGTTCTGATTGATATCTATTCTGAAAGTTATCCTGAGGGCTACTCCTGAAGTCAGTACGGCGTCTATCTTGTCTGTCATCTCTTCTCGATGTTCGATCTTCAGTTCTGTGATTATAGTTGTCATCACCTCGTATACGTCTTCGTTGGTAACGGTCATCACGTCTATCTCGCCTGTATGTATTCCGAGACTGTTGTTCATCAGAGTCATAGCTGGTGTTTTGCCTGGACCTAGCACGGTTTCTATACCATTGTTCGTCTGGCGATTTTCTTCTAAAATCAGGCTCAGGAGGCCTATCAGTATATTGACGGGTATCTTCAGCTCTCGCTATATTGGAAGCTGCGGCAGCATGTGAAACTGATTCCATTTCATCTAATTTACGTTTAGTTTTAGCAATATGTATTATCTTTTTTAAAGATTTCAAAATAGTGTCATTATGTTGAGAATGTTCATAGATATATCGTTTTACTTTTTCCGGAATAGTATTCATAAATCGATCTATCACAACTGTTTCTATCACTTGCGGTTCGAACTCATAATGTTCTCGGGCTAAAATTCTTAATCTAGCCGCATATCCTCCATACGTTTCATCAGACTCCATATGTGCTTCATTAAACAGAATACCTTTTGTATGTTTATGTAACGGTCCAATAAATGTTTGTTTTAACATCTGAATAATTGCGTCATAGTCCAATTTAAGTGCATCGGGCATAATTTCCCAGTTAGTTTTAGCATAGCCTTCCAACAATAATGATAACACTTTACCCTTCTGTCCGTCATACAATGGATTATCTAAAGCTCTTTGGACTTTAGTAAGCCATTCTTTTAAAAATATTTCAATTTGCGGTTCGTTTCCGTGAAAAGTTCCCGTGAACTCTTTAACCTTTCCGTATATATAAAGATGATCCCTATATATCTGTCGGTCACTACGTCTAGATAACTGATCTGATAGATCTTGAACTTAATTTCGTAAACGATGCTGTTCATTTTCGTATTGTTCAACAGTGCCTTTATGTTGGCTTTCAAAACGTTTTAAAGCTTCGTCAATTGTTTGTTGTCTGTCGTCATCTATCTTAAATGTCAATTCCGCTAATTCTCTGCGTAATTTTTCGACTTCCTTTTTCGCCATAGTTAATATTGAATATTAAATATACTAAGGAATAATATATGAAAGGCTATAACATACAATACTATAGGGTAATACAATAATACACACTGTTCCACAATACAATAATATCCTACACGAATAACAATATCATCAACTTAATATCAACAGTAAATAATGATAATATACATTGAATGTATACGTCATAAATGTTCAGATATCAAACTCAGCAAAAACAAAAATTGAGGGATTAAAAACACCTGACCTTGTAGTTTACTGTGCATACAATGCGTCTTACTTCGTAATTGGATTTTTAAACTTTAGTCTTTTAGATAACGATGCTTTTACTATCGACTGACAGAAAACAAATACAATTCTATGTTTGCAATTTCAAAGTACAATAAAAATTACACTTATAAATATAATCTATATAGGCACACACATGCATACTCCATTCAAGGTAAGATAGCACAAAATAAAACATTTAACATGAGTTACAAAACTATTTTGGTAGCTATATAATTCAGGCACTGTCACTGAGTGAAAACACATTGAAGTTTATGAAAGAATCTTCGAAACAAGTATAGTCATCCACTAATAGCACTTTACTTCACCGGCGTAATGTCAAATCTGTAAGCCACTGAGTGGATCTCACAAAAACAAATTATCTACAAGTTCATTGCAAACTGTTCTCTATCTCGTCTGCAGGGTTCTTCTGCTTCCAGGAATCCACCACTACTAATACTAGAAAGTTAGTTAGCCCACAAAGGACAAAAATCGGCCTACCAATCTAAGCTCAGAAGATCCAAAACCATAATATTTATTCACTGTCGGTATAATGTTTTAAAAATGTAATTTGTGGCATCTTACGGTTGCGTCTCAAGGAAATCACGGTTCCATCGTTTTGAAAGGTCTGTTGTGGTCCTATAAAGTCAACTATCGGTGACGCCAATTATGTGGAGACCTCTCGTCAATGGAAAATAAGAAGACTTCCTTCATTAGTTAACATGTTTATTCTGCCATCACTAACCGAACTCTCCTACCCCATCACTCACTCTCCTATTCATACACACACTTCTCTAATACCTAATAGACATACCAAATAAGGTTTGTCACAAAGATTATGTTCCAGTTTCAATTACATTAAAAAAAATAGACTGATAGAATACATCTATCAGTAAACATATCGAAGATCATCCGTTGCATATTCAAGTTTCCTACCTTATTTTAGTTTGGCTGATGACCCAAGATTTGTGGAGTCGTAAGAGAACTCTCGTAAGAATATTGATTAAAAATCTAGACAATTCTTCCTGTGGTTTATAAAATATGACTGATGCGAATTGATCACTCATGGGAATTTAAAACAGATGAGATATTTTTTATAATATATTTTGATGGATAAGAATAAGGTATGACCGGTTTTTCAAAAACTCAAAATAGATTTGTACAGATAAGTTGATAGTAACTCAGTAAATGGCAGCCAAAGTTGCCAGAACTATGCCCCTATTGTCACGTGTAGATCTTACGTTAGAGCCTGTAATATATTTCCGTTCATCGAGTGTGATGTATGCAGTAAGCACTAAATAATTTTTTATATAGATTTTCGCACCATAGATTAAAATCATAGTGCAATAAGCGGCAATTTATTTTAAATTCTTACAAAATACATAATTGTATAAATCACAAATTAGCGAACCTTATAGACACTCAGTCGATACAAATTTGTTTTGTTGTAAAAATAGATTACAATTTACAGACATTAGAAAATGATGCTTTAGAAAGAGATTTCCGAATGGACGAGACGAGTAATTTTAATTACTATCAATAAACAGATGACAAGTAGAAAGTTATTAAATGGATTCTTGACATACACCGAACTGGATTTATTGAACTACAAGTACATCAATTATAGTCTGAACTAACTGACAATTTGTTTCTCTGGTAGTATGAGGGTGGCCTGAAAAGTTCATATGCTGACTCTAATTGAGATTATACCACAGTAGTGAAACTTGATATACATTAAATTCAATATTCCTGATACTAACAGCATTGTTTCTTTTTAGAGCAACTTACGTATACGGGAATGGGCTGAAAAGTTCATAGGCTGACTCGGATTGAGTTTATACCACAATACCATCCACAATACAGGCAGAAGGAGTAGAAGCTTTAGACATTTACCGGAATTGAATATTTGATAGCCTTTTTATATCTATTGATGAAATGTCGTATAATCCAAATAAACAACGATGCTCTCATTTGGGAAACAGATATTCATATACCACCCAGAGGCAAGCTCAATTTCAAGAAGTTTCGGACTAACATCTTCAGCATTATTAACCTGTTTGTGCTAAGAGTGTTTTTTGTTTCTTTGGACACGCAAAATGTAAGCTACTGTCAATTTAGCCTTTTCCTGAAGATGTTTGTATTACATCAAAACAATACAAAATGGCGCTTTTTGTTTCGCAACCTCAATGAACTTGTTCATATTTCGATTTTTTTTCCGATTTGAGAGGAAATGTTTGCTGTTCCAGACAGGTTAAAAAGCTTTGTGAGATTGTTTGACAAATGATTTAGGTTTTTATTTTTCCAGTTGAAGATAAATGTTCGACAAGTGACTCGCCAATGTCTTGAAACATTATTCTGAGACAGACAAATAATACCGTGATTCAAACATTAATTTTCTTAAGAAACATATTGATCGCAATTATCCATTTTTCTTTTTTTAAGTAAACCGAACGTTGACATTTTGTTTCCTTTCTTCTTCTCTTTTCATCATAACTTACCCAAAAGGCATGGAAGCATCGTCTGACAGACAATCCATATTTAAAAAAGATTTATAATTGGAGCGATCGTGTTGCCATCAGCAAAATTCATATTTCCGTTAATTTGTATTTTAATATCGCACTTTTATATCAGTTGTAAATATCTTAAGAGAGTATTCCAAGACAAAACAAAATGATGAATATGTAAAGAGTCTACGATTTTCATCCATTTTGCATTATTTTGCAATCAGATAATACAAGATTTGTGGCAGAACAAGTCTTGGGATCACGGAACACGTACTTGATACAGAAGAGTATACAGAGTAGAAGATGAACCTGCTTATGTCTTACACGGCGTTTAAATAGCATTTGATTCAACTCTTTCAAGGGAGATAAATCGTATATTTAGAGCTTGAAGAATCGTTTTGTACGATGCTTCGTACTTAAAAAAAGAAATGCCTAATGATGTCAAGGTAGCAGACGGAGTTCTTAATAGTAAGACATTGTGAAAATGCCCTGTAATTTCTACAGATAAAAGTTAACACGTAGTCTAGACCAAGATAATCCAAAGATCAATCAACTTCTCTTTAATCTACTCTGGACATCGTAAAGACTAAAGTTTGCTGTCCTGATAAACATTTCCCTTTTTGCTAGTAGTACAGTAAAAGTACATTTAAAGTGCTCTTATTTGGAAATGATATCGTATCAGCTGTGATTTTAACGTTAGAACTCTTGTTGACTACCCTAAAAAAGTACCTTTCACTGACAGGTCGACGTACATCTGGGCTATCGTGTACTAAGTCATCAAAGACGGATTTGGTAGAATTAATCGGCTGAGTGGAGGAACAGACATCTTTACATTACACATTATCAATCACTATTCAATAGGGGATACTTTCTAATCTCTCATAAACACATTTTCCTGTTGATGTATTTATTTTATATACGTTCAGTTTTTTTGTTAAAAAACGCATTATTCAAAAACTTAAGTAGTGAGGTTTCAGAACTGTCTGCAACAATGCGTCATAAATTCTATTTGCGAGTCGACCAAATCTTTTGAATGGATGACTAGCTCCTGGTCCTGTCCTGTACCTCTATGACTGACATTCTAGGTTATTCAAATAACATATTTTGACGATTACTGTAAAAATTGTTTAAAATGCTATAAAATTTAAATAAACATTCCTGAACATCTGATGACAATAAAATGTCACAAACTGCACATGAATGTCTGTTATATTCATTTTCAAGTAAAATAAAAGTTATTTTACGTACATAAGTTGAAGATATCTTGATTTATGACAAAATTGCAAATAGCTTAACTATAGCCACCATATAATCACTAAGCTACCAACCCGAAACATCAATGGTCGTTTTCTTCATCATTTCAGATATGACGCTACTCAGACATAATGGATCTGTTCATCAAGTTGGTAATCAAAATCGGTCCGGCTCATAGACTATTAACAATGGGTCCAGCGGATCGAGAAACACACTCGGACCTCTTATGACCGTCGAAATTGTTAGGCATATTATCATGTTTTGTTACTAACTTGGACTGATTTTATCTAGAAAACACACGAACACCAGGTCAGTTTTAAATGCCACGAACAAAATTAAGGAGTGTCGTAAAACAAAATTTTACACATTTTCACCCTTGATATTGATATAATGCTCCATTGGTGTTTATGGGCGTTTCATATCGCTCTTTTGAAAAATATTTACTAAGCTTAACGACCATGCCAATTCATTATCAAGAACATGTCATGCAAAATCTTCCCAATAAGCTTTGAAATTCATCTTTACAAAGTGTCTTTTCGAATCGGCGGAAATACATTGACCTCGTTGAAACCGTAAAATGTCATTCATGTCGCTTAATAGGCTTTCGGTGGTTTTATACATTGTTTCTTGAATTGCTCAGATCTTTATTGAGTTCAATACGCTAACAAGAACCCTAGAGTCCAATGACTATTCAATCGTCGTGTTTATTAACAGTTTTGATGTCCACTTAATGTGAGTGCCATCTTGTATGTTTAATTACATTACCTATTCGAGTAAGTATGCGTCGGAAATTTACAACCAATCAGTATTTCAGTTCTGAAAGTTCTTGTTCTTACTCCATTTTAGCATGTACCCCTACTGAAGTATGAAGTTATGATACAGTTACATGATTCCACCATTCAGAACTGTGAACTTACCTTAAGTAAGGGCGTTTTGATTGAACCTAAATCTCATAGATCCTAATAATGTACCTTAGTCTAACAAGACGCGCACACTTCAGTCAGGGTTATCAAAAATTAATTTTAGGATTAATTGGTTATCGAATAATTTAATTATCCCTCCAAAAACGATCAAACATGATAGTGAATATACCGTAGTTTATATGCAATTCATTTTTTATAGGTAGTGCAATTTTGAATATTTAAGTCGTTTTCTCTCAATTGTTTGGTAAACTACCTTCCTTATCCTTGAGGTATATTTGAACATCCTGTATCAAACACAAACATCAGTCATTTCAACATCGTTATGTCGACAACATCTAATATTCAGTCTTTCTTACCACCAATACAAAAAAACATCTTTCCTGTTTGTGTGGCTTCACAATAACCATCATTTGTGACAAGAGGACAGGAAAGAGTGGATAAACGGTGCGATATGATTGGTTAACCCTTTATAAAACATTCAATTAAAAGTCGTTATTTGCCTACTGGTTTACTAAAACCTATCATTCTAAGACCGTTATTTTTTAATGCAGCCAAACAATCCTTTATTATATACTCTCACAACACTAACGACTATAATTCAGCGGAAATTGTAGCAACTTTCTACTGTTTTCTGAAGTAAAAGAGATGAAAAGAGAATTAAGTTTTACTGAACTTGAGGACGTGGGAGATTTATTGGTATTAGATCTATAGTAATACAATTCTACAGATTACAGTTAAATAAATTTCTTTTGAATTTCAAGTTGTTATAGACCTTTTTCACGTCATATTGAATACAGAACGAGGCTCATAACGCAAACCTTGAAAAGATAACATTGTGCCACTGAATAAAATCGCCATCTTGATGTCTCTAAAGCCTCCTTCTTCAATCCTAACTCGAAACTAATCATTTTTTACATCATTACATTTTAAATTCTTGAAGCTATTTAATGATACTTTTATATGAATTTTACCTTTACACAATTCTGAGAAAGGACAGTTTTAAGTCAATTTTCTTGCTGTTTGGTTTATAAACCTCGCTTTCAGTCTCTCAAAAACGAGGCGTGAATAAGGTCTATTAATGTACCAGGTGGGAAGAGAAGTAAATTGATTAAGGGATAAACATTAGACATTATAAGATTTCTTTTAAATATTAGTTAAAGGTCTTTTTAATTTGACCGATAAACTGAAATTATGCCCACAGGTATGAACAATAACACTGCGTCGTAGCAAATTTTGCATTAAGTTAGGTTAATGTGTGAAAACATGGACACACTTTAATTTTTAAATGTGAACGATGCCATTTTAATTCAGCATAATAAAGTATTATATTGGCAGTCTTTCTTGTAAAAAGGTCATCTGGGCGAAGTATTTAATTTCAAAAAAAAAGAATTTAATTGGTTGTCTTACAGGTATAAAAGGAGTTAATACTTAAACGTTAAGCACAAAAACTGGATGTAAATAAAAACTATATAGCCCGCTCGCTAAAACGAAACATTAGACTATACCTCTTTAGGAAATGGTCAAAACCCATTTTTATTGTTTTGATTACTTTATTTATCTATATATACATTTATAATACTGCCTTTACTTACCAGTCCAGTATGCATATAATTGTAAACGAATGTAGTTCGTGTTATTTTTTAGAAATCCTCCTTTTCCCTCCTTTTAGGGTTTTTGCATGCCTTAGACTAATGTTTGGTCTAGAATTGTATGTAGTGGTCTACTTTCAGTTTGGCTTGTTCAAGATTTTCATGGTCATGATATATTGAAACTAAGCACTGGCCAGGCTTTCATGTGACATATTGGAAAGTTTTCAATGAGATTTCTGGAAAAAAAAATAGAAGGTTGAATTTCGATATTTAACATGGAAACAGATGGCAAATGAATTACCAGAGTCGGTCCACATACATTGTCTCCAATGACCGCCCTTGAATACAGTGAATATACCTTGTTTCCAATTACCTCCCTTGAATAGAGTGAATATACGCTGTTTCCAATTACCTCCCTTGAATAGAGTGAATATACACTGTTTCCAATTACCTCCATTGCATAGAGTGAATATACACTGTTTCCAATTACCTCCCCTGAATAGAGTGAATATACACTGTTTCCAATTACCTCCCCTGAATAGAGTGAATATACACTGTTTCCAATTACCTCCCTTGAATAGAGTGAATATACACTGTTTCCAATTACCTCCCTTGCATAGAGTGAATATACACAGACTCACACTAGTTGTTCATTTGCCAACTCTTTCCAGTATTCAATCTCAAATTCAACCTTCCTTTTATAACTTCAATGTATTCAATTGATGATGACCATGACAATTTGAGCTTGTCGAATCGAAAGTAGCCCACAAAGACAATGCGATTTCAGACATCAGATTCTAATTCTATAAACAAAATTGGTCATAGATGCGAAAACCCCAAAAGGGAGAGAGCAAGAGGATTTCTACATTCGTTTAAGTGGTCCTCGCAGTCTTCAATTACATCCCTTGAATAACTAGAATTTTTCGCCTCGGAACCTTGATTGATATTGATAGAGATCTGATTTAATTTTTCGCTGTGACATCAAACCAGTTAGAGCGAAAATTGATAATGTTATATTTTTATATCAAATTCTCAATGACTCTATCTGATTTTATTTTCTGAATATGCCAAAGTTCTTGCAGCCTTGATATAAATTGCATAAAAAGAATCTAATAAAGCTGAAACTACTGTCTTCTTTCTTATCTTATGCTTCGTTTTCATCCAGTCTTTTGTCGGAACGGGCAACGAAGGCTTAAATATGGGTCGGAGATAAGTATACGCCACGCGATTTTTTCCTAGATTATGATTAGTGGCGGGAGGGGGTGACATTATGTTTTCCTGCATTCTGCAACCACTCTGTAATCCAATTTAATACCCGATAATGATCTGTTAGACTATCAGAGGCTGTCAAAGGACAGACGCTAGTACTATACTGTCCTCGACTTTTTCAAGATTCGATTTTCTGTGATATCTATTAGCTTCTTGTGCTTGGTTGAAACGCTGGCATACGCAAATTCACGTCGTAAAAGTTCATCACAGTTGAACACTTGAAAATGTTACACCGACTTGTGCGGTTATACAGCGAGTACTCGCTGACTTAAATAGTATAAACCAATGCGCCGCTGATGAACGGTGGCAACCGCCGACCACGAGCACATGCTAGGGTACTACGGCGGTTGATGGGTCCGGAGTATAAATCCACCTTTACTTTGTTAATAATGTCATTGATCAGGGATCCTGAAAGGCGTAATAGAAATAAAGATGTTGGAAACCCCTAATTTATGAGCTCATTACAAAACTTACCTCTTAGGCGTATATCATGTAGGTCAAGCCTGTTTTATTTACTGAACAAAGTCGGCGTTTGGGTTCTTTAAAACGCATTCTATGGCATGAAAAGAATAAACTAGTCTTATATTATGTATGGCGACCATTATGGAATGCCAAAACGGAAAAAATCACATTCCAGAAGTTTACATTTCATACCAAGAAATTCATATCAAATACCAAAAAGTTTACATTTTATACCAAGAAATTCATATCAAATACCAAGAAGTTTACATTTTATACCAAGAAATTCATATCAATTACCAAGACATTTACATTTTATACCAAGAAATTCATATCAATTACCAAGACATTTACATTTTATACCAAGAAATTCATATCAATTACCAAGACATTTACATTTTAAACCAAGAAATTCATATCAAATACCAAGACGTTTACATTTTATATCAAGAAATTCATATCAAATACCAAAAAGTTTACATTTTATACCAAGAAATTCATATCAAATAACAAGAAGTTTAATTCATAGACCAGATCAAATATACAATGCAACTTAGATCATATTACATCACACAGTGGGGAATTAGATCTCGATTGAAGACCATTTTAATCGCAGGTAATGCAAGATCGCAAATTATACGCAGTCAGTTTAGAAGGAAGTGAGATGAAGATCAAAACAAATTACATGTCTCAGAAGCTGAACTGTAATTATGAAATGTCGACTTAAATTATTCAGACGTGTGTTCTGTCATTCAGTCCGTTTAGATCACACATTGCATAAGGTCTGACATTTACCTTTTACAGTTCACTACTTTGCTTTTAATAGACTAAAAAGGGAAAGAAAGATAGAAACATCCATTTTACAAGGATCTGGAGAATCCTGTCTACCACCAGGCCCACGCGACACTACGTGCGGTTCTTACCATCGTGTGCAAACCACACCCCCATTCGTCATACTTCCTTGAAATCGTGGAAAAATTACATATTCATAGCTAAATATTGACCAATAAGAATGGGCGCTGCTGTCTTGCTTGTAAAATTTCAGCTAATCAAATCAAATCACTCGTTATGAAAATGTGTTTGCGAACAGTAATATTCCTAGTTCGAAGTATTTTTAAAACAATTATTTTCTAGTACTTATGAAGACTATTGACGTATATTCAAGACTAAAATCAAACCCTCAAATGCCGTATCTGTCCCTTTAATACAGGCTACTAAGACCATATCAAAATCCGTATTCGTGATACGATGGGTTATACCAGCTTGTCATTGACCAATCATCTGAGCATTGATTATTAACTCAAGATCACCAGATTGTTATATAAGGGTACAATTTCTTCTAAACACCTTGTAGTTGGAAATGAAGACTTTAGTATTTGGCGCTGCTATTAAAAGACCCTGTAATGCAGTTATACACTTCAATAATGTACTGTATAGCTTTGATCGCTGATTCAGAAGCTGTTGTTTTTTTATCATAATATTCTAATATGCATTAAGTATCATAAGTGACGTTTTTATGCCATAAATGTGAATACTGCTGACGTAAAATCAATCTGTTTTCATAAAGAGGCCTAAATAGAATTAACCTTTTCTTCACTGAATCGATGTTGTAACATATCTGTCATTTTCAAACAGCATCACTCAGTTGAATGATATTTGAATCGTGTTTGAGTAGATTTCCAGCGATTTTAACTTGTTACCACTTGATAACTATCGTTGTTAACAGATCTGGAAAAAAATCAGAAATCAATTTAACTTCGTTTGAAGAAATGAATATTGATCACTTTACTTTTAAATCATCATAAAGAAAACCATAACCATTTTTAAAAGCATTCTATCTCTTGGAGTGAACTTAAAATTTACATTTTCAAATTTGGTCATGTATTCATCAATGGACTTACTTGGTACCATGACTTGACAACATAATCCATGTATATGACGATAAAACTATTAAATAGGTATTTATATTTCTGTATTTCTACAATTGATGCATTGAGCACTATTTTAACAGTGGTATTTCTATATCACTCTTCAATTGTTGTATTGAGCATTATTTTGACAGTGATATTTCTATATCACTCTACAATTGATGTATTGAGCACTATTATAACAGTGGTATTTCTATATCACTCTACAATTGTTGTATTGAGCACTATTATAACAGTGGTATTTCTATATCACTCTACAATTGATGTATTGAGCACCATTATAACAGTGGTATTTCTATATCGCTCTACAATTGATATATTGAGCACTATTTTAACAGTGGTATTTCTATATCGCTCTACAATTGGTGTATTGAGCAATGTGGTAACAGTGATTTTTCATATCTTTCTACAATTGATGTATTGAGTACTATTTTAACAATGATATTTCTGTATCGCTCTACAATTGATGCATTGAGCACTATTTTAACAGTGGTATTTCTATATCACTCTACAATTGATGCATTGAGCACTATTTTAACAGTGGTATTTCTATATCACTCCACAATTGATGCATTGAGCACTATTTTAATAGTGGTATTTATATATCGCTCTTCAATTGAAGTATTGAGCACCATCTTAACAGTAATATTTCTATATCACTCTACAATTGATGTAATGAGCACTATTTTAACAGTGGTATTTCTATATCACTCTACAATTGATGCATTGAGCACTATTTTAACAGTGGTATTTCTATATCACTCTACAATTGATGCATTGAGCACTATTTTAACAGTGGTATTTCTATATCGCTCTACAATTGATGTATTGAGCACTATTATAACAGTGGTATTTCTATATCACTCTACAATTGATGTATTGAGCACTATTATAACAGTGATATTTCTATATCGCTCTACAATTGATGTATTGAGCACTATTATAACAGTGGTATTTCTATATCACTCTACAATTGATGTATTGAGCACTATTTTAACAGTGGTATTTCTATATCGCTCTGTAATTGATGTATTGAGCACTATTATAACAGTGGTATTTCTATATCACTCTACAATTGATGTATTGAGCACTATTTTATTATTGTAATGTAATGTATTTTTTCAAAAACGCCTTAATAAGTTGGTGTAAGCAATTTTTACTATTAAAAAAAGCTAGTTGTTGCAAAACAAATGGCACTTAGCAAGGCATCTGCATCGTAGAATAATATAAAAATCCAATATCCAATACAACCAATGTCCATCGCAACTTATTTTGTCAAATAATGTTATAGTGGAGAATAATAAAGGTACAAATTGCCGTCCTTATTTAGCTAAGCAGAATTATCCGCGTTTGAAAGTTAAAATGACGATTCGTTTTTTCTTGAGACTTTGTCATATATAGAAAACACATAAAAATAGAAATATTAAAACAGAACCTAAAAATTCATGTTGTATTCAGAGTTTGACGCTATGCGATTTTCAGACAACAGACTTACTTTCAGTCTGCGTCCCTATTGAAGTTGGGAAAGACATATATAGAAAAAAGTGAAATTCCTAGTTTGAGGTATTTTTGAAGAAATTATGCGATTTTTGTACATTTCTAGTACTACTGAAGACTTTTTACATATATTCAATACTCAAACTCAACCCCCCAAAATGGCGAATTTGTTTTTTAAAATGTTATTTTTACAACCGCAATCGCCTGAAACCTTATATACATGAACAACTTAAACATCTGTTGATGTTCATGAACAGTTGCTGTAATAATTGTGCTGTACGGGGCGTGATTATCGATACAGTAGAAAATAGAAGAAACGAATTGTGCCCGCACAATGTCTCGACCTGTACCTCGTGTGTTCACTATTCCGCATCGCACACCACACCGGACACCGTACCTCGTCTATTCGTATTCGCTTTACATGTATTTGCATTTTATTTGATATGCTATTCAATTTGAAACTGGCCTTTACTTAGTATGGATGTTGCATGGGGGTAATCCACAGAAGTTAGGACGTATACTCACAATTTGTATGAAAATACATACTTAAATGCCGTTTTCCTTTCAACACATTGAAATTGGTATGAGTCAAACAGTTGGGCTTGTTTCCAAACTGCGAGTCTAAGTCTTGTTTATAATGGCTTTGTTGCCTAAAACATAATGCCGTATCTCGTTATTTCTAAATAAAATTATCGTTGGGACTCAGCGACCTGTAAGCAGGTCATTAGGGACCAATAAAACACTTGTCTTCTCTTAAACCGAATAATATCAATTTCATTTGGTACCATTTGATTAGATGAGTTTAGAAAATTGAAAATTTTCTGAAATTTCTTACACTGTCTATAATAGAATTGAAAGTTTCAAACTCAATTGATTTGCATCGTTGACATGTTTTCTCACTCAAAATGTTAATCTAATCAAAATAGGCTAACACTCCACTCTCTCTTGTTTCAATTGATAAATACAGTTATCGCCAAGTGACGACCATACCCCGAGGTAAAATAGAAATTGTTGAAGTGAAAAACTTCGTGCGAGGATATTTCGATTGCTGTCAATTAAAGGACTGCTACCACATAGAATGAATTCGGCCTTGAAAGGGTATACATACATCATTCTTCAAGTAAGAGGTATATTTACCACCAATATTTTTAGCGACAAAATGAGAGTCCGAAAACTGTCCTCTGTAAAACAAATTTTGAATACGCAATGCTTTCTTATACTTATATCATATAAGATTAACAGTTCTATTTTCAGCTGTTATACCAATTCTCATCAAAAATATAATACAAACAAAATTCAAAAATTGTTTTTCTTTGCGCAAACCAGCCACTCGCAGGAGGGAAGGCGTATTTTTTAATACAGTGAAATGGTGCTTTGTGCGATGGCAGTTGTCTTTCTTTTGGTGCCGTGAAAGCCTTATAATACCTTTATATGATGTACTAAATGCGAAAATAGTTAAACATGATGAGTGGATGTTTTAAAAGCTACCAACGAATTCTAAAGGTTGCGTACTGTAATGAAAGTGGCAATAAGTTTCGAATGCATTTCTTAACTCATTTGCATGAGAGTTACGTTGGGAACTTAAGGCAATTATTCTTAATCGCAACCACATGTAACTGGTGACCACTATGGTGTGAGGTTGCCTTTATACACACGTACACTCGTTAACTAAGTTGTTTTTTTTAAGTGATCATCATATGAAGTTTGGGTTGCTTACTCTACAATCGAACATTTAAAAGTTAGAGCAAAAAAACAAAAAGAAAGAGAAGTAGATTGTTTACAAGTTATTTCGAAATGCTGTTTTTTTAATTGTTCAGGCGATGATAATTATTGAGATTATTTTTTAAATCCCCGGTCATTATCACATAGCTCTGTAAAGTTTCAATCTCTACCATCGACCAGAAAATTGTGGTTTATTGAACGCAAATATCACATTTTTTCTTGACAAACATCCGTCAACGCTTAAATAACACTGGTAACATTCCGCTGCCGGCAGATAATCATCTTTATTAAATGTTAAATTGTCGATGGTGATGTTATGCCAAAGATTAAATTTTAATTCAGTTTCCGGAACATGGATTGTCAATATAGTGAAATTTATCCAATCTAGATTTATAATATAACGTTTATATGCACACCTTTAACGATGGATGATGAAAGCGCATTGTTCATAGCATCTACATTAACTTCCCTTCAAAGGATGTTGAACCGACACCTTATCATACTGACATTGAATGATCTGTCAAAAGCATTAGGGCAAACATCATGGCATCCATTGCTTTCATAATGCAAATAAAACTGAATAAACCAATATATTGAAGTCACATGATGTAAAGGGTAGCATTGTGTTTCAAAATGATCATCTTCAGTTAATTGTGACAGAAACTAGAATATCTAGGTGGTAGGTAGATGACAAGTTAACGTTCGCTTCCAGCGGATGCTGATATCACAAACTAGGTAGTTGTTGGTAGTCGTAGTAGTTGGTAGTTGGATCTGATAGTAAAGATAGGTAGGTAGATGACAAGTTAACGTTCGCTTCCAGCGGATGCTGATATCGCAAACTAACTAGAATATCTACTCTTAGATTGGATTTATACCGTTTATTACATACGTGTGTTTAACCTAGCTGTCAAATAAAATACAAACGACCCGATGACCCGATTGTGTTTCGAAGACTTAATAAGAGCTGCTTATCGTCAACTGTTACTAACTCAAATATTTCTCAATTTACGTTATCTGTTCTCTCGAAGAGAAAAATTAAAATCAACAAATATTTAACATTTTGTCCAGTTTTGGTAAAGTTGACAATAAGTGATATCTATTTTAGTTCGTCAGATGTGAAAACCAAATTAAAAACAAAATTTCTGAGTTTCATAAAAGATAAACGCTAGAAGTACATAAAGATTAGCAAATATTTAAATGCGTTCTAGTATGATACTTCCTCATTTCACCTGATGATGACTATGTAGATTATTGAAACGTTGTGTGCAATATAACTAAGAGTAGTATACCATGAAATTGTGTTCCGTTATTTATATACATGAAAAGTCTGATTGGTGACTTGTTTTCCTAAAAGGTTAATTCAATGGTCAAATTTTAGATTTAATGAAGATGTGTCTGTATAGATATTATATAAATCATGTGAGGACTTCCAATTCAATAAATTAAATAAATACAAGAGTTAGCTCCCATGATGGGTATTAGCACAACCAACTACTGGGACGGGACATATAACATGATAGTTTAATTGAGAATAACTAGCCTCCATCAGAGACGCCTGAGATAGTATGTGATGGGGACCTGTCTTCTAAGCATCTCGGGATGGAAAATTAACAAGTAACGTCACAACGTTTTATTTGATCTTTGTTCACGGAAAAATTCCAAAATAATTTTGGCTTTCAATAAATTGACACCTTGTCCGTAGTGAGGTCCATCAAAACTATTAACACCGTCTGTTAAATTAAATGTTTCAAATATTGGCACATTATACTCAGTTAATAATTTCTTCATTGCTTTGTTATATTTTATAACATTATGTCTATGTTGACTTGGCTTAAAGGGTGTTTTCAACAGCCCCGGTGCGTGCATTGCATGCCACAAAAACTTAGAGGTATCCACTCCTTGTGTTTTCCAGAAATTTAGAACTGGCGATAATATCTTATTCCACGTTCGTGTAATTTTAAAACCGTCGTGTAAGCCTGTTCCAACAATAAAATATGCTTTTGGATCTCTCGCGTGGGTGTTCATAACTTGTTGAATTTGTGTTCCATGTTTAGTGGAAGCAAATTCGTTAAAATATAAATACACAGTTGAATTACATAAGGTTGAGAATTGATCCAGTAAACTACGACATTGTTTCTCTGTAAACATATCTAGCCCAGTACATGAATCATGGAGACCTGAAATTAAAAATTCATTCAAAAGGATCAAATTATTAATCTATTGTTAAGCAATGATATTCGAGCACACTCGGAGGCGACATGGAATACAACCACGAACAGTCCATTGTATATTTGGATAGAGTAAGTCCACAAATAGCTTCATATACAGTGGCTCCCCTCCCTTTGGCTCCGCTACTTATTATATAGCATAGACCCTTAAGCCGCCGCCATTAGCCGCCGCTTCTGTCGAATTCTTTTCAGCTGGTTTATGTCAGCTGATATTCGCCACATTGTAATTATCCCAAAATCACAGTTAAGTTAACCCATTGTACAGAAAGAGTTAATAAGTCTATTTATACATATAGATGAATTACTGAAAGCTCTTTTTGCTTTTCTCAAACAATTTATTAGAGATGAAAACAATTCATTAAAAATATCAAAACAGAACCCCTCCCCCCCACCCCCCCCAAAAAAAAAAACTTTTTTAAGTTCTGTTTTGATATCTTTATTTTGCTCTACAATTGATGTATTGAGCACTATCTTAACAGTGGTATTTCTATATCACTCTACAATTGATGTATTGAGCACTATTATAACAGTGGTATTTCTATATCACTCTACAATTGATGTATTGAGAACTATTTTAACAGTATAAAACTAGCTAGCTTCAAAAGTCTGATAAACCAGTCGATTGCAGCTGCCAGCCAATCACTTTTTACAAAATATATCGGATCAAGAGTTTAATCTTGTACTCTAGAAAATACAGAATACATAATGCTACGAATTTCTTATACTGTTTCTTGACTTTTGTATAAATGGTATAAAGTGTCTCACGAAAAGACGACTCGTCTTTTAACTTATAATTCTGGACAAACATGGATTAGAATTCTCAAATTTTGACCATGAGTTTTGGACACTATTGTTGATCGGCTTAGCTAAAAGAATTTTCGTTTCTGAGACTAAGGTACGATTGGTTAAAAAATGGCGCACCTATACCTTTAATAGATTGAATATAACATACCTTTGTAAGTACCAGGACGTATTGCACCATCGAATAAATTGTCTTTCAGTAATAGGATAAAAGCTAGGTAAATATGTCTAATGAAGGAATCGCCCATGAAAAATATCTTCGATCCTTTCACAAAATCACATAATTCATGAGCAGTTCTAGATGGAACTTGACAATATTTATGGTTGGGAATCCAGTCGGCATGTTCAGCATTGATAGAGGTCCTCATATCATAACAGTCCTTACAGACACAATCCTCGATACTTTTATTTGCGCATACATTGTTATAACAGCACGGGGTGGGACCTTTTGGATGACACAAGGGGCGGAACCACTTCAGTCTAATATCTTCAAAGGACACATTGCCACATTTTCCATCCCGCCTCTGTAAGTTAGCGGGTAGAAAATGCTGGCTTCTTGCTCGTAATAAAAATGCATCCATTTTCTGCACCTCTTCTCGCGATACAATCCGAGGTTTCCAGTGTCCGTACGTCATATACTTCAACACATTGGGACATTCTTTATTGTTCTCATTTGATTGGTCAGAATTAGTCACGTGTTCATTTTGATTTCCGGAAGCAATTATTTTCATCGTGTCGGTTTGAAAAGCAAAGAAGATTATAAGACAACAGACAAAAACAAGAAGAAATGCAAGCGTTGATTTATATCCGAACTGCAACACCATATTATTACCTCCCTTTACGCTCAGGCATTCAGGTACTGTCCCGCAACACTCTGAAATTAGAATAACGAAATTGAAAAATGGATTTACATGGTTTTTGAAAGCATTGAATGTATATAAGGGACATTGATCTAAATTCTGTCGGAATAATTTGGATACAAATCCCTACTAGCATGATAATTATTCCGTAATAAATTTTTTTTTTTGGAAATTGCAAAAACCAAAAACATCAGATGAAAGTTTGTACCCTCTCTTAATTTGTATATAAAAAAATGTGTCATAATGTAACAAAGTCTAATTAAAATTAGATTACAATAGTTTCTTTCTCTTTTCTGATATTTTTTATCTCCATTGTAATCTAACAAGTTTTCTACCAAATTCCCGTTGTAATGTCGTAATGTAAGGTCAGTAGCGAAATTAGCATAAAAAGAAGATTACAAATCTTAATTTGATTGAAATGCACCGAAGTCTACTTGCTGGCACTTTCCACAATACACCACAAAAGTTTTTATGATAAAATTCCGGTGGTTTGTTTAGGAAAGGTTTATTTTTTATTTTTTGCTGAATTATCAATTTTGTTTACTATTTTCTATGTTTGTTAACTATTCAGCAAGCAAAAATAGAAAATAGTAAACAAAAATGACAATTCAGCAAAAAAAATAGAAATTAGTAAACAAAAATGATAATTCAGCAAACGAAAATGAAAAATAAGTAAAATTAACATAAATATAAAAAATCAAACACGTCCTCAACAAGCGACCGTACTTATTTAATATTTTTAAATATATATTACGATGTAAAATTATAGTGGAATTGCTATATGGCAGAGGAGTTTAGGATAATCAACTCTGCTGTGGGTAAAGTATGTGGAATTAACAAGCATTATAAGTAAAGATTTATATACACTTAAAAACCAATCAGGTAACATAAATAAACCAGTCGTACATTCAAAGTAACTCCCAAATCTGTTGTGTCGTCAGCTGCTGATTGGTGGAGCGCGCACGTGCATTATAACCAATATTGCACGCATTTAGTCTCGTTCTATTTCCAGACTTCGTAAATCAACGGAGATTACCGATGTTGACTTGCAAGTTGTTGTACAAGTAACTGGATAATGAGGACTGCAAACAAGGGAGACCAACTTCCATAACAATATTTAGCACATGGACTCTAAAACTTTTTTATGTAAATCCCTCTCTTTTGGGGGTTTTGCATGCCTATATTTGACCAATTTTTGGTCAAGAATTGGAATGTGATGTGTCAAATTACATTTTCTTTCAGATTTTTTGAGATGATGAGAGATTTTAGTGCGGAAGGATAATTCTAAAATAGTCGTTTTGTGTGCAGTGCCAGTAACGAAGATGTTGATAAAATGTAGTGGTCTACGTTCAGTTTGACTCGCTCAATGTTTGTCCAGAAATTAGGTATTGAACAGGCTTTCGTGTGACATATTGGAAAGTTTTCAGCGAGATTTCTGGAAAAGTTATAGAAGATTGAATTTCGTGATTTAACATGGAAACAGATTGCAAATGAATTACTTGTCTGAGTCCACATGTTTAAGATGCGGGCGATGAGGTAGCTCAACCTGACACTGTGTTGAACGATAAAACTTGGAAATCATGCCCCCGGCTCCGATTCATATCCCTCACGCCCAGTTTCAAATTGAAGTTCTTACATGCCCGGTGCCCCCTTGACGAACAACAACAACAAAAAAAGACACATACATCTCAGAAGGCCCATATTTTTCTAAAAATGTCCTTCAAGATTTGAAAATACGTCAAGTCAATATATTTATCGTAAAGGGGCAGATGAATTGCGTAATTCTTTCAAAAATATCTCTACATAAGTATTCCATTATTATATGAATTTGACTTTCTATATCTATGTCATTTTTACAATTATATAATTTATTATCTCTACAAGAAAAGACGTCGTCTTTCAAAAGCGGATAATTCTGGACTCACATGGATTTTAAGTTGAACACTATTAATGTTTAGTTTAACTTAGAAAAATCTCGTTTCTGAGACTAAGGACTAAGGTACGAAAGACAAATGGCGAATCTGTCCCTTTCAGCCCTATTCTCGTGATGCATTTAGTTATCTCACCGAACTGCGACCATTTGCAGTCTTACAGCCGCTAAAAATGTACTTGGTCGCCGGCAAAAAAGAAGAAAACACGAGTAAGAGTCCCTTAAAATTACAAATTTTACAGCAGTCGATATCAGTGGCGTCGCGAGTTGGGGTACAGAGAATGGTTTGCACCCCCAATTGTATCCCCATTTTTTTATACAAAATATGTGTCAGAATGCACCAAATCAATTCAATATTTCGAAACTTAAAAGGCAAGCGACCTCGACAATTCAGCAGCGACATTGTCCCTCTATTGAGTACCTATTTGTTCTCCCAGACTCGGGAGGTTGGCGCCGCCACTGGTCGCTATCAACTTGCGATAGATGATACTATATTGCGGTCCCATGGCGCGTTTCTGATTAAATCTGTGGGCTCAGTTCACTTCAGTTTTATTGCTTTAATGGAGATGTTACTTGTCTTAAGACATTCTCGATTCCATGGTAATCTCAACGACGCGTATTTGACGCTTTCCTCACGCTTATAACACGCGTTCGACCATAACATAATAATTTTCTGTTGCTGTAGCAGCCCAGTAAGGACGTCATTCCGGTGTGACCGGGCCATAAGCAAATGCTTGCATATGCCACCATAAGTAAATTTTCTTATGCAAGTATATATACTCGCGTAAGTATCCATGTCCATGTAAATGTGTTTTAATTTGTTTCTCACCTCAGTCCTCGCCAGATAGTTACACACACAGGTTAGTTGGTTGGAAGATGACCAGTTAACGTCGGTCAGTGATAACGCAGACTAGCACCGAAAACTGATTCTTAGCGTGTACCTGAGAACAGTCGCTATTGATTGGCTTTTGAATCGTATTGTAAGAATAAAACTTAATATGGCCTACGGTAAATATGAAACAGCCAGGTAAAACTAATCAATAAAGGTATCTATTGTCGAAAGTCGATGACGGTTGTCGATTCTCTTGGAACAATGGGTGCCTAAAATAAATCTTAAGAAATTTTCATTTAAGCCTCTCAATATGATCTTGAGTGGATTTAAAGAGAGCTTCAGTTGTATAGATTGTTTATTGTCTACAATCATTCTTGAATGAAAGATTGCTGA